TTATTTATTGTGTGTGTGTACTCACCTAGTTCTCATTTAGTTGTGGTTGCAGGGGTCGAGTCACAGCTCCTGGCCCCGCCTCTTCACTGGCCGCTACTGGGTTACTCTTCCTGCTCCATGAGCTTTATCATACCTCTTCTTAAAGCTATGTATGGATCCTGCCTACACTACATCACTTCCCAGACTATTCCACCTCCTGACAACTCTGTGACTGAAGAAATACTTCCTAACATCCCTGTGATTCTTCTGAGTCTTCAACTTCCAACAGTGACCCCTCTCTGGAACATTGTCTCTGTCTACCTTGTCGATTCCTCTCAGTATTTTATATGTCGTTAGCATATCCCCCATATCTCTTGTGTCTTCCAGTGTCGTCAGGTCGATTTCCCTTAACCTCTCTTCGTAGGCCATACCCCTTAGCTCCGGGAATAGTCTTGTTGCAAACCTTTGCACTTTCTCTAGTTTCCTTACGTGCTTGGCTAGGTGTGGGTTCTAAACTGGTGCTGCATACTCCAGTATGGGCCTAACATACACAGTGTACAGGGTCCTGAACGACTCCATATTAAGATGTCGAAATGCTGTTCTCAGGTTTGCTAGGCGCCCTTACGCTGCAGCAGTTATTTGGTTGATGTGCGTCTCTGGAGAAGTGTCCAGTGTTATACTCACCCCAAGATCTCTTTCCTTCCTCAGTCTTCACGACTTTGCACTTGGTGGAGTTGAACTCCAGCAGCCAGTTTCTGGACCAGGCTGCAGTATGTGTGTGTGTGTGTGTGTGTGTGTGTGTGGTGTGTGTGTGTGTGTGTGTGGAGCTACTAGGTTCACCCTCTCCTGGCTTCGAGAGCCTTATCGTACTTAATGCTATGTATGGATGCTGCCTCCACTACATTCTCTAGGTCATTCTATTTTCTGACTACTCTAAGCCTGTAGAAATACTTCCTAACATCCCTCTAACTCGTTTGGGTTTTCGCCTTCCAGCTGTGCCCTCGTGTTCATGTTTTCTGCCTCACAGACAATCTGTCCCTGTCTATCCTATCAGTTTCCCTCTCAGTGTTTTGTACGTTATCATGTCACACCTAGTCCTGAAAGCTAGTCTTAGATTTGCCCTGTACTTCATCTGCGGTCTTCTTTGCCCTTCCCCTAACTTTGTACTTGCCTCAGTTAAATTCCAGTAGCCACTTGTCAGGATGGAGATAAACGGTATAAAATACCGACACGAGGGGAAAATAAATACAAATGCAGTATAATGCGATCCTTTGTTGACAACGTTTCCCCCACACAGTGGACTTTATGAAGTGACAAGCAAATCTGTTTGTGACTTGGTAAAGTCCACTGTGTGGGCGAAACATAGTCAATGAAGGATTGTATCATGCTGCATTTGTGTTTATTTTTGCAGCCTCTTGTGAGCCGCAGGCGGTCTTGGTCGTCATCGGCTTGTATTCTTCTCGTTAGTTTCACATTATCATCAAGAAGGGATATCTCTAGCTCTGTCCCTTTCGTCACGTCATTCACGCATACATGAAATAGTACCGGTTCTAATACTGATCCTTGAAGAACCTCACTCGTCACATGCACCCATCCTGATACCTCTTCTCGAACAATTACTTTTTGTTTCCTTCCTCCTAGGTGTGCATGTGTGATATCATTTTTTTAATAAGCAAGTGTGAAACTCGAGTGGGCTTCCTTTCTCTTCATTTTTTAACCTGTGGAATGATCTATTTACAACCTCGGAATGTAATCAGCGAGGCAATACGATTACTTCAAGACCATTCAGTCTTAGTTAAATTTACAGACTTTTTTTTTTTTTTTGATAAACAGACTCTAATGCAGGATAGGAAGCTATACTGAGACATTTCATTTGGAGATGAAGCTTTTAAAACCAAGGTTGGATACTAAGCCTGGTGATCAACCATGGAGACCAAGCTTGGAGGTTTATTAGCATGGAGGTTTTACCACCTTAGTCCCAGATACTTGTTACATATGCTTGAGGTGAAGGGACTTTGATTCAAGGAATTGAAATTATCCTCTTATTCTCAATGCGCTGTACTACTCGTATAGATAATATAATAATAATAATGTGAATATAAGAAGGTTATGTCCGTGACGTGGAGGCCTCTTCTTCTACACGACTTTAAACTATAAAAAGAAATTTGATTCAAATGTAAAATTGATTATTGTTATTGTTGCTGTTGCTGCTGCTGATATTATTATTTTATTGTGATAATTATTAATTATTATTATTATTAAGGTTAGTAATTTGAGTTAAATGTCACCTTCACAAGGTTTAGGGTTGATGAGTTTTATGAGTGGACAACACCAGTGTCTGGGCAAGGTGTATATACCCAGGTGATGTATATTTTTGTATATAGACCTACAGAGATACACTGATAGTGTCCTTTAACCACTATTTTAAAGATTTAAATATTCATAATAATAGTGTACAAGTAAATTCCTGTGGGAATGTGACAAATCAAGATACATTCAAGACAATGAAGGAGACGTTTCGCGATTTGTGGATTTATGAATCGTAATGATTAATTAGGAAAGATAAAGCCACAAGTAGAAAAACGTTGTCTTCAATAAACACCTTGTGTCTTATTCCCACAATCTTTCGGCACTAATATACCTATGCTTATATAGGTCAGTTTCTGTTAATGACCCTCTTGCATTCGATATACCTGTTACGAGATTCAAAGAATTTCGTACCCTGTTGACCTCATCATCCAAGGTGTTGGTGCCAGTTCCCGCAGGGTCTCATAGTCATCATTCCCAGGGGTGTCCAGTCACTTACAGGAAACTGTGGTACAGTCTTCTCTTGGTATAAACCTTGGTATTAGATACTGACAAGTTGGTTTAGAAGTAAGCAAGGTCCCAGGACCGAAACGTTTTTTTAATAAGTATGTCCTGGTGTTTGCTTACGTGTTTTTCTAAACAAGTCTGTTCTTGAAACTTCTACCCTCGTTCCGGCAATAGGCTTTAGGCATGACGCTTTGAACCTAAAATAAAGTAACCAATCTCTGAGGTACAGTTTGGCTGGTGGTGTGACGCTCCAACACGCTCCTGGGCTAAGCTGCACTACTCTATACATTACCATAGTCTCACCATGCTTCTATACTTACCTTTTACTCCATCTATAATTAAAGCATATAATTAGCAACTTTTTTTTAAGACCATCGATTAAGTCTGCATTTTTTTAAAACTTCGTTTAAAAATGTTCTTGTTTGAGCTCTGAATGTTTAAATAATGTGTCCTAAGCTCCCTTACTGAAAGTTAGATTGAAATTAAAGTTTTACGAAAATCGTCTATTGAACCTTTGTTATCATATATGATTAGTGAACTGAGGATCACAGTTCTCGCCATAAGCCTTCGATCAATTATATGCTCTTTCTGTTAGGTAATTTTGGATAAAATTCATCCCATACCCTTTTGCGAAACATGAATTACATCACGTGTTGTGGTACATCATTATTTGGTGATGCTGGCAGTGGGCCCAAGAGCTAGAATTTAAACCCCACAGACAAAAATAAGCGAATACATCGTTAAATTAGACACATGTACAACTCTTGGGTATCTTTATTGAGGAAACGTTTCGCCACACAGTGGCTTCATCAGTCCATACAAAGGATAAACTTGAAGAACAGTAGGAGAATGAGGTAATCAGTCCCTCAGCCTTGAGTCGATGTGGTCAGTCCATCAATCTTGAATAGAATGCGGCATATGAGCGGAGAAGCAGCTTATAAACCGTATGGCAGGAGAGGTGCAGCAGTCATAGGTGATGTCACATTTGTCCAATGTGGAAGTAGTTCTTGGGATCGTAATACTTAGGAATTCTTCGCTTGCCTAACCCTTGGGCACGACCTACTTCCACAGTGGACAAATGTGACACCACCTACAACTGCTGCACCTCTCCTACCTACGGTTTATAAGCTGCTTCTCCGCTCATATGCCGTATTCTATTCAAGATTGATGGACTGACCACATCGACTCAAGGCTGAGGGACTGATTACCTCATTCTCCTACTGTTCTTCAAGTTTATCCTTTGTATGGACTGATGAAGCCACTGTGTGGCGAAACGTTTCCTCAATAAAGATACCCAAGAGTTGCACATGTGTCTAATTTAACAACGTGTCGGTTCTTTGAACCATTCATCTACAAGCGAATACATCACTGAATTAATCATGAATTATTTGGTAAGAGGTAGACTATGATTGTTTATTCAGAGTTTATAAATTGTTTATTCAGAGTTTATAAAATGTTTATTCAGAGTTTATAAATTGTTTGTTCAGAATTTATAAAATGTTTATTCAGAGTTTATAAATTGTTTATTCAGAATTTATAAAATGTTTATTCAGAGTTTATAAATTGTTTATTCAGAGTTTATAAAATGTTTATTCAGAGTTTATAAATTGTTTATTCAGAATTTATAAAATGTTTATTCAGAGTTTATAAATTGTTTATTCAGAATTTATAAAATGTTTATTCAGAGTTTATAAAATCCTCTGCCGTTTGTTGAAGATTGCACTTTGTATTATTTCCATCGATTTGTTGGACGCACTGCAAGTGTCTTATTTCACGTTAATACCTGATTGTAGAATTTACCCATAACGGTATACAACCATTCTCTCTCTCTCTCTCTTCCCCCCTATCCCCCCCTCTCTCTCTCTCTCTTTTTCTCTCTCCTTCTCCCATCTCTTTTTTCTCACCACACAACACACACAAATAATCACTATCACTTCTAACCAGTACTCGTATAAATTATTTTATAGGTACCTCAATTAAAGTATGCAAAATAGCAATGTAGGTGAATGTTTCTTTATAGTTATAGTGATATATTAGCATTCTCGTTAAATATTATCCATATTACAAGATTTGTGTCAAATTAATTAACTTTGTACATTTCATTATTCTCTTGTTTGTAACTACTCTCAGAGTTTTGCATTGTGTTTTCTTACTAATATTTTTATGGCCACTGTTAAAACTTCTAACTTTTTTTCCCTTATTTTCAGGCACAGGTCACTGCATCACTGCGCTGCACAAGTCCCTACATCACTGTGCTGCACAGGTCACTGCATCACTGTGTTGCACAGGTCACTGCATCACTGTGGTATCTGGTAGTCTGCTCCAAGATATAGTTAAGATAGCAAGAAAGATGTTCACTGAAATTTATTAGTTTGAAAGAGAAAGAGTAAATACATAATTCTTGAAAAATAAAAACATTGAGTACAGACGTCAATAAAATTAAGAAATAAACGTTGCCATGACATTCTACAGATTATGGCAATTTTTGTGGTGGTGCTGATAGTGAAATATGATGTTGAGGGTGGCAGGTGGTAGTGTGGTGCTGTGTTGGTGTTGATGGTGAGTGGTGGCAGCGTGGTGCTGGTGACATGGGGCGCAGAGCCTTGCACCAGCCGGGATAGTGTTGTGGCCAAGTGTTGTGGTCGCTGTGGCCATGTTGGCCTCTGCGGTCGTGGCCAGACCAACACCATCCTTGCACCACCTCATCAACATATCTCATGCCACCAACTTGACTTTGCAGCCTTCTGTAGCCGCCCACACCTCACTTGCAAGCTCCCAAGGACCAATGGTAGGCACTGATTCGCCTTTTGTAATAGTGGATCCACTTAACTTAACAGCGTTCGACGGGGAAGACGTGGAAGCCGACGAGGGCGTATTTCATGGGCTGTTTACGACGGTGTTGGTGGTGCTGGTGTTGCTGATGATCATTGTAGGTACTGTCGTGGGTAACCTGCTTGTCTGTGTCGCCGTCTGCCTCGTCAGGAAACTCAGGAGACCATATAACTATTTACTTGTGAGCTTGGCAGTATCGGACTTATGTGTGGCACTCTTGGTTATGCCGATGGCATTGCTTCACGAGCTCCTAGGCAACTGGCAGTTTGGACGGCTAGCCTGTGACGTGTGGGTGTCGTTTGATGTACTCTCCTGCACAGCCAGTATTCTCAACTTGTGCATGATAAGCGTCGACAGATACTTGGCCATCACAAGGCCTTTGGAATATGGGGTGAAGCGAACACCACGCAGAATGGTAGCATATATCGCCTTTGTCTGGCTTGGTGCTGCCTTCATTAGTGTTCCGCCCATCCTCATATTGGGTAATGAACACGGAGATGGGTCCATCTGCGAAGTCTGCCAAAACTTCTGGTACCAAATCTATGCCACTTTCGGCTCCTTTTACATTCCCCTGACAGTGATGGTCATCGTTTACTATAAGATCTTTTGTGCGGCGAAGAGAATCGTCAATGAGGAGCGGAAGGCCCAGGCGCATCTTCGTCTTGTGGAAGAAGCTGATGCCGACGCCAGAGCCTCCACCGCCATGCTTGGTTCATACACTCAGCTCAAGCCCGTGTCCAGGTAAGATCATTTTGGTATGTTCTGACTCCTTAGAAACTACACGGCCATCTATTTATCACTTCTTTCAGCACGTAGTCTTCTAAAGAACTAGAAGAGTTGTGTTACTAGTAGAGTGAAGGCGAGACATTGTAACAGAAAACGCTATCTGGTAAACCTGACAAAGTTTTTCGATTTATTTTCTTATAAGTCTGTCCTTGTCAGCCATGACTTGTACACCAAGCTTTAGCGAACTCTAAGGCACTTAGTTTTAGCTCATGCTCAGGAGCTCAGTTTTAGCATATACTCGAGATCTCAGTGTTAATATTTATTCTCGAACTCAGCTTAGGCAAATACTCAGAAGTTCGGATAAAGAATAAAAAAAAGGCACAATACCGTGACTGGAACAGTGCACACATTTCTTGCACATAAGAGAAAGGAACTTACGACGACGTTTCGGTCCGACTTTGAATCATTAACTAGTTAATGGTCCAGATCGGTCCGAAACGTCGTTATAAGTTTCCCTCTCCTATATGCGGGTTGTGTATTTAGTATATACTCAGGAGCTTAGCTTATGTGATTACCTTAAGTGTTCAAACAGTAACCCTCTTATTTTTATGATTACCAGAATAGTTCATCTAGCATCCCCTCTCATTTCTTTACCCACCGTCTACAGGCTACTCCGATAGACTCTTTAGGATGCAGTTTCACGAGACTAACGAATTCCACAGCGCGGCATTTTTGGTCATTTCTACGGATTTTCATATTTTGTACTTTGACCAGGTAGGTAATATTATCTCTGAAGATAATTTTATCTCTTGACTCTAGCCAGATTCTATAACTCATATAAATGGAGGAAATATTTGTTTGACATAAAGAAAGTCAACGAGAAATGTTAGCAATAATGCAATAAAAGTAGAAAAGAATATTAATAATTATGTTCTGAGATGGTATGGTAGTGTCTAACCTCAGTGAACATGATGCTTCGGGGACGACAAAAGCCTATATAACCTCAGTCTTACGAACGGTTCTTTTAAAAAAATATTTTATTTTTTTTCTGCCCTCCAAACACCACACAGAATCTACATATTGTCCGTCTCTACTGATTTGAGTATTTTGTTCACTTTTTCGCTGTAAGAGAGCGTCACACACTTGTATTAAGACGGAAGTAATTATTCACGCAGCAAAAATGAATACTTCTTCATGACGCTCTGTAGGTGCATACCTTCGGTTCCTTTACTTCTCACTGCATTCTCATTCGGATTTACTCTCAATAGATTTGTCTCCACCACAAACATACCTTAAACAATAATAAGTGTATCCCATGATTGCATTATGAAAGGTGTACTCCCCCCCCCCATCCCTAATGTCTACTTTACAAATTAATTTTATCTCACTTTGACGTCTCATCACTACTTCCCTGTATACAATAACCACGGGGGTCTACAAAACCGTAATCTACTGTATACGTATTAAAACACTGAGCCACTCGCATCCGTAAACATTATACTTCTGTATCGTTTCCGATCCTTAGAAAGATATATCTTGTTTCAGAGAGATCAGTGAAATAAGAGAGTAAAGCTTGTTTAATAATAGTTTTAGAGAGAGCGCGCGAGCGAGAGAGCGCGAGCGAGAGACAGAGCGCGAGCAAGAGAGAGAGAGAATCTTAACATCAGCTCTGAGACATAATTACACTCTACGTCAGCAATATACCAACAGCAACATGTGTTACCTCGCATAAACCTATAACATGCATCCTTGTCCTTGACGCTCACGTTACGAACACTAATTACCTCTCGGGTACATGTCCCTGATATGACAGACGCTTGATAAACTACATGTATTTCGGTCGTTGCACGAGCCGAGAAAGATATCCAAGAATTGCTTAGCTCCACACTCTGCAAATGGAATAGTGCAGAGTGCGACATAAGTTTCTAACGCAGCTAAATACTAGCGTTGAAAACTGAAAGCAGATCAGAAGAGACATTCCCAAGACATCAACTGGAAGCTAATATCTCAATTTCTTTTATGAAACTTGCAAATTAGGACATACACAGCTCAAATAAAATTCAGACCACACACAAACACCAATATTCTAAAATACTCAGACACATTAAGGTAGAAGCATCTCAGAAGTTGCATTATCCAGGTATCAGTGGTGAAACATTGAAGCTAATTGGACTGCACACTCGGAAATTATCACATGTTAAGGAGCATTTCAGTTTCCCAGTTTCTTCCCAGCAAAAAAAAACAAAAAACAAAGGACGTCCACAGGCCAAAATCAATCCAGATTCTCTAATATTAACCAGTTTTTGAGTGACTAAGCAAGCAAGTACATGAACTAAGTAAATATGTAAGTAATTAAGCTCTATTCAAACTTTGGATATATAACATGCATTTTTTTACAGTGAATTAGAGGACACACAGTCCTCTAATTCACTGTAATTTATGTAATGTATTACATTACATAAATTTAACCAAGGACAACCCAATAAAGTCAAACACTGATTTATTTCTGATCTGAAGAGATATTATTTCACTGAAGCAAATTTGACTAATAAAATTGGCACATTAAAATTTAAACACCCTAAAATCAGGAGAAATCTTCTTTAGAGGAAAACACTTCAGCACTACAACTTTAGTGCTGACCAGAAGATGCATTCACCAGTTACTACACAGATTCCAACAAACTTAGCACTTACACAGCCTTGACCCAAGAAATGTTCCCTCCATTTAATACAACATCCGTTAAAGATTGATGTCATTCACAATTGTTTTTAAATCAGGGAAAAACGGTAAATTCGTATGGGGTCATGAATTGAGATTCCCTCCAAGGCAAGAAAGTGAAGTCTAGTTTCTGGATCAGGTGTCTTTCACCAATATCAAGGCTTCCCTTTTAGGAAGCATAATTCAGTTAAACAATGAAAAATATTACTATACAGTTTGAAGATTAAAAGCGGCAAAAATAATTGCGACACACGCCACTAAAATTAAGAAACAGGGGTGTCAAAATTTGAAGCTGATTAGAAGAGCCTTTATAGAGTGATCTGATGGAAACCAATTTAGCAATGTCTAAAAAAAAGGGGCAGAGGGCACCTGCATTTGTCAGCTGTTTCAGGAAACTTCTCCTAGTAATGGTTGACCAGGGGTTAAAAATTTGAAGACAATACGATAAGGTGTTCTGAGGCTCTAAACGAAAGCCTTGGACGAAGTTATTGGAACACCTTACTTAACAACACGCTGGCTCTACCACAGTATAAAAGACTTCACTGAACTCTTGAATATTAGAAATGCTATTAAAACGCATATTTGTCTTTTTTTTTAAACTTCTCCTCATTCTTTTAAGAGAAAATAAATGATTTTGTGTTTAAGAAAGAATTGGCAATTTGAAATATACAGTATCCAAATTCAATACAAAAAGTCAGTCATTTAAGGCACATCAACCTGCAAGTGTTTGAAGCAAACTAGAAGAGGCGTTTTCTAGTTATTGCCTGGAAAGCAATTTAATAAAATTGGCAATTTAAAATTAACAAGATTCAGTGAAAGCTAAGTTTTCTTTCAATAAAGCTCATCAACAGTGAAAGTTTGAAGCTGATCAAGGAAAAGGTATTCCCCAGGAATTACTCCGAATCCAATGATTTTAAGTTTTGTTAACAAAGTCTAACCTTCCAGGGCGTCATCCATCTTATAGGAGGCAGCAACATGACTGTTCTGAACCTGTTAACACCAGGCAGTCCTTAGTTATTAAATGGAAATACTATTATTTATATATAAAAATGGCAAATTGGGACTTAACCGAATAACAAGGATAACCTTGCATTCTGGGAAAAACACAAATGTTAAAGATTTAATGCCGATCAGAAGAGACATTCTCCAGTTATTGCACACATTCCAACTTTTTTTAAAGAAATTTGTTGAACTGACCATAAGATGCATCACCTATTAAATATTAAAGCCAATTCAAACGAGATACTCAAATATTTTTAACGTGATTTAATGGCAATAAGAACTGCGCACAATTTTACATAATTTGACAATTAGCCAATTTGTCAGTTTACTGAATAAACAGTAATATTTATTTGCATTCAATAACTAAAGAATTGACGATGCATTCCATAAGACCTATACCCCCATAAGTTTAATCTGATTAGATGCAAATTTGAGATTTTACAAACTTTTTTAAAGACAAAAACTTGTACAAGAATACTTATTTTTATATTTTGACGCATTAGAATTTTATCATCACTCTTCACTGTTCCATTGAGGTAGAGGCGGCTGAGTTTATGGGACGCGGGGATACCTTTCTCGGATCGCACAGCGACCAAAATACACCTAGTTGTATTAACTTACTTACCATAATTCAGTAGGGACAAGACAAACATAGAAGGAATCGTAAGGTTGATTTGTTTACACAAACGACACCAATACTGATGACAGTCGTCACAGAGTGAGCCTAAGACGTCTTGTTTGTTAATTCATAGTTAAGTTGTTTATCTAAGGCCACTTCAGTGATGGCTTTCACTCCAAGTGTCACTGTAGCAACACCTGTAGCACAACAGGTGCATCACTACAGGTGTGTCACTGTAGACACAGGTGTATCACTACAAGTGTGTCACTATAGCCACAAGTGTGTCACTGTAGGCACAAGTGTATCACTACATGTATGTCACTGTAGCCACAAGTGTATCACTACATGTGTGTCACTGTAGACACAGGTGTATTACTACAAGTGTGTCACTGTAGCCACAAGTGTATCACTACAAGTGTATGACTGTAGCCATAAGTGTATCACTACAGGTGTGTCACTGAAGACACAGGATATCACTACAGGTATGTCACTGTAGACACAGGGTATCACTACAAGTGTGTCACTAGATATACGTGTATCACTGCAACTTTGTCACTGTAGCCACAGGTGTATCACTACAGGTGTGTCGCTGTAGACACAGATGCATCACTACAAGTGTGTCACTGTAGCCACAAGTGTATCACTGCAAGTGTTTCACTGTAGCCACAAATGTATC